TTTATTATTAGTCATTATACAATTACAATTTAGGTTTGGAATTTTAGATTTAAGAGAAAGAAATACTTAATGGTTTCTGCATCTAAACTGCTAGTAATAAAATGTGCAACTGGATAACTATGTCCAAACTCTGTAACTGAAGTTTATCTAAAAATATGATAAATATTTGTGTTATGAATTAAGCTAAAGAGAGTTTACTACATCATCAAGTAAAATTTAAATAGAACATTAAACAAGAAAACCCATATTTCTTTTAGACTGCTCTTATATCTCACAACTTGCAAACTTAATTCTTTATTCTGATCTTTTAGAACAGACACATTTACAGACTGATGGCAGAAATAACTAACTTTTTAAAAAATTAACATAAGCAACTAACTTTCTGATACAAGAACAATGTTAACCTTAAAGGAGAAAAAATAAATCTTCAAAAAATAACTAAAGCATCACACCAATATTAACAAAAATATGGTTTAATAACACAAGCCTGCGAAATGGAAGTTTTTGAAAAATACAAGAGAAGTTATTGGTGTTGATTTCAAAAATGATCTTCATTTTTCCTAATCACATTAGGATTTTTTGTAAAATCAATATTTAATGTCTTTACTAAAATCCTATTTCGAAAGGAATTTTCTCAAACGATTTGTCAAGTACTATCCGGTAACTGCTATCTTTATTCATTTTAATCTATGTAAAATTTAATCTTGTGAAAGAAAATTGATTTTTGATCTATCAGCTAATTTTTTATAGGTTAAAATGAATAAAAAATACTGTTACCAGACCGCACAAGTCACCTTTGGTCGAGAGAAAAAACAATAAGTTCTTTGCGTTTGAACTTTTTACCAGTTTCTGGAAGAAAATCACCAACATATCATTTTAATTTTTTTTTTTACATTAAGATAGCTTACGTAAAATTGACGATTGACCAAGAATAGCAAATATTGTGTATGTGTACATGAAAGTTTGAAACAAATACAAAACAAGCAAAAAACATATTGGTAATTTAAACGTAACGTTAAAAAGAGAAAAGTTTCTATTTAAGGATATACTCGTTTTCCCCTGAAACTTATTTTTGATGATCTTCTTTTATGCTAAATCTCAGATCTATCCCAAGCTATCATCCAACAGTAGTCGGCGAGCATGTTCTTGTCCCATCTTCCTTGATATTTACGCTCCATATCTCTGACATCTTGATGGAATCTTTCTTCTTGTTCTTCGCTGACTGCTCCTAAACTATCGGGTAAAAAGTTTACATGTGAGCAAAGGAAATGTATTTTTACACTCATGAAGCTACCCAAAGTTTTAAATTTGTCCAGCATTTTTATTACAATTTCCTAATAATCAGGGTCCCTTATTGCTAGCTGTTGAGTAAATAATACATGAAATTCATTCAAAATGATGTTTTGTAAAGCATTATTCTATAATAGGATTTTAAATAATTTATGATTTGAAATCTTTTAGGGAGAAAGGGAGATATTTTCTAATTATGCTATTTACAATCACCCAGGCACTAATTAAGTTAATTTCTATTAGATGTCTAGTATGTTTTTAAGGGGTCACAGTACCTTTGCAACAATTCTTTTAAATAAAGGTATAATCATTCATTTTGTGGATGCTTTACATGCTCATTTAACTTATAATCAATAATTCATTTTCAAAAAGTAATTAAACTGTTTAATTTTTTAACATTTTAAAAAAATTCAAAAATTTTAAATCCCTAAGGCTTTTTTATTTGAACATATTTTCAAAACATTTTTTTTCCCTTGGTGCTTACAATATTCATCTTAACAATTATGTGCATTCATTTGTTGATTAATCAATTAGAATATTTTTGATAGATTATTTTGTAAAAATATAAAAAAAAAGGTTAAAAATTCCTGTTAGGTATATATAACATGCTGTAAAAATTGTAATACCTCATAAAATGCTTATTCCATGCACAGATTAAATAAGTGTATTATACTCAAGATAAAAAATTAATAATACTTAAATAGAAAAAATTACTTAAGGATTTAATTAAGATTAAAACACAAAATTATCATCAATGAGGAAAAGCACTTTAAAATCTGTCTGCTGTGCAAGTTTCTGTATTAGGACAATCTAAAATCAGTAATAACTTTTTTAAAAACAAAGATAGATAGATAATTTTTTTTCAGTGAATTTAAAATAGTTTAAAGTTTTATTAAAAGCAATAAGAAAAACTCGATACTTTGGTCATTTTTTGAGTACTGTGACCTCTTAAAAATATTTAATTTTTTTGCAAACATAAAGCATGTGATTGAAATGGAAAGTAATGAATATAAAAGAATAAATGTATTTTAAATGCAATTGAAATATTTGACTAAAATTTCAAGTATTACTCAAAGGTATTAGAAATAATATTTCCTTTAAATATGCATGTATTAAAATAATTTAAATATCAAACTATAAAATTAACTATTTGATAATAATAATTATTGTCCACTATGTCATTTGCAATATTGATTAAAACTAATAAAAATTTCATAGCAAATCAAATAATTCAGATGTATTTAGTTTATTCTAAAAATAATTGAGGAGTGGACTTTAAATTAAAAATATTAACTTCCTGGCTTTTTCTTTTTCCAATTTATTTTTCATTTGAGTATACTAGGACAGTCACCGAAATTAAAAAAGCAAGCCTCTCACAGAGACATAAGTAAGCTTTTCTTCTGTTATCTGTACAATATTAGATGGCTAAATATATGACTCATCATTAATTTGGAAGCATTTGAGATGCAACAACATCCTCAAAAATATTCATAGAAAAGATCTGTATAATTAATGTTATTGTAATGTCATAATTAATGTCAGGAAAAAACTAAAATATTTCTTGTGAACTTAGTTAAAAATTTTTTCCCCTTTTCACTCTGAAATGTACACTAATTATAATAAAAGGCTAAGAAATAGATGTTCTATCACTTTTTCTTTTTTATTTGTAGTGACGAGCAGTTCTGGTATGATAACAACAAATGAAAAGGAAAATTCTGGCACTGCTAAAATAGAACACATGAAGAGAAAGGTATTTTGTTGCAGCTGAACATAAAAAATTTGAAAATGTTTTCCCCTACCTTCCAAAAATATATAAACTTATAAATACAGATTTTATATAAATGATAAATAGGTTTAAGAAGCATTAAATTTTACTCAAAAATGATAACTAGTTGCATATTAGATAAAAAAAATTTAATTTAAATCAGTGACATTTAAAAAAAAAAATCCAAGTGGTTTAAATTATGATTTTTCCCCTTTCAATACTTATTCATGTTAAATAATTCCTTGTTAACAATGCTTGATATTTCTGATCTGTACTGAAATAAATACAATAATGTTATCTTTTAATAACTGGCACATTCATATATTTTAAATAGGCACTAAGAAAAGATGTTGGTGCATGCAAAAGTCTCATTCAGACATGTGTTTTTTAATCCAACATGCTAAGCAAGACATGTATTATGAAAAAATGTTGAAATTTTTTAAGCACTGGGAGATCCTGAATAACACACAAATATAATGGGTTAGCGTTATTTTAAAAAAAAATATCTATAAATGTATGCATATAGACATAAATGTATTAAAGAAAAATATTTAGAGTCAGATAATAATAAGAAGAACACACAGGTATGAAAGTTACAACAATAAACTTAACATGCTAAGCAACATACCGAGCTGATTCCAAGAGTTCTTTAGCAGTTACACCATCTCCCTGCTTTAACTTGATCAATGCCAATTCAGTCATAGTGAAAGGTATCAAATACACATCATCTTTAACTCACTTTTAACTGAAATATTTCAAATTGTTTAGGATCATAAAAAATATAATTTAACAACCAAAAAATCTTAAAGGACTTTTGAAATGAAATCATAAGTTTTTCTGTATTGTTTAGCTTTATTCATTCACATATAGCACGAAATAATTATTTCTTATATTTTAGTATTTTTATTATTCTTTTGAGGTCAAAATGCAGCAAATTTATATTTTGTTTGAAAAAATTCATAAAAAGAAGTTTTTAAATATATAAGTCTTATAATGTATAATGTTAATTCTTCACTAAATAGTTTTTTTCTTCCTCTTTTTTTAATCGAATTTTCGCTTAATCATAATACTTCTTTAGAAATTAGAAATTTTTCTCCACTTCCATAAACTTTCTTGTCCTTAGTTAAATAAACTCAGAAAATATTAATGGTTACCTTTTGAAGAAAAATATCCAACATTCTTTTTCTTATCTAGGGAAAAACTATTATTTGGAAAGGAAGTATATTAAAAACAAAAACAAAATACTCTTAAAACAAAATTTTTTAAAACTGTTAATAAGTAAATCAAAATCAACCAACTACTTTGTGATTCATAAGTTTATGCTTATTATCATCTTTTTCAGAGTATAACAAAAGTTTGAAAAAATAATAAAAAATAATGGACATTAAATATAGCTTAAAAACATAGAAAAAAGAATTGCAAAAATAGAAATTTTTTTAAACTCTTATCAACATTAATTTTACTAATATAAATCTTTATATTAAGAAGCTGAGAGAAAGCTGTGTACAATTCTTATTAATATGTAAATTGTGGAAAACACTTTGAATAAAATTTATAGGAAAGTTAATATGAACTAATTTATTTAAGTAAATAATCACAAATTAAAAACTGCCAGTAATTACATAGGGGTCAGATTCTAATAAAACAAATGGGACTGATGAATTAGTCACATCAATTATAAATTAGCTATTAATAATTTTAAAATAAATTTAATTCAACGTACTTTGTTTTAATATACAAATTAAATTAACAAAAAAAACAAAAAAACGCTGATTTCCATTATTGTAATAATTGTAATTTAATTAAGACAATTATCAGTCAAGATCAGTAGACAACTGATGGACTCTGGTCTACTGATGGAACTATATTTTAGAGTGAATATTTTTAAAGATACATTCTCTTGTAATTAAATTGTTATTGCAGAAATTGTTATTGTTAGAAATTGATCAACTTGTGTTAAAGTTTTTAAATTTTTGCAGTATGATCTACAGATTTAGTTTTTAGCCAAGTTATAGAAATAAGCACCTGTACATTGTTTCTAGATTATATTAATTGAAGCGTGTTTGTGCTTTTATTTTTATTTGTTAATTTGTAAATCACTCTAGTTTTCAGAGGTAAATTACGTGCATGTTAACTAAAGACTATAATACTTAAGTAGTTTTATACAGTATTTTAATCCGAGTTCTTATTTAACCCAAACAGCCAACACTCAATATAAGGACTCTTGCTGAAATAAACAGAGCACTTAAATTATAGTATAGTGAGGTAACATGTATAAAATAACGGTTGTAAAAATTTAATTGTTAATAATTCTTGCCAGGTAGATAAATTTTTTTCTGTAATTTAAAAAATAGATAAACACTTCTTTTAGGAATGAAAACATTTAATTTCAAATGCTATTATGGAAAGTTCATTTCAGTAAATTGTATATTTAAATATACAATTTACTGTGTTTTGATTAAGAAACTAAAAAATTTTCCTCGTTAAATTTCAAAATTAGATACTAAGATTGTCAACAGATGGAATCTATGGTTACAAACACCATTGTTCCAACTGAAAAAGTATTTGCAAGAGTCTAAATTAATGTCCTTAAACTTGAGCAGGTTTTGCTACATATGGTGGTCATTTAGAAAACATTTCTTTCTGTTGTCTTTTAATATTATCAGAACTTTTGTTCAATTATGTGCAGCTAATTATAAAACTAAAAAATTACCTAGTTTCTTAAGAACAGTAGCAAAGCATCTAATTCTATCACCTTCATTTTTTCTTTAGTTAATATTTCAAATTCTAGGTCATTTTTCTGACAGACTGGGCAAATAAAATAACATTGCATGCATCAAATAGCAAATGGGACTTTCGTATCTTACATTTTAATGAAGAGGTCTATGCAATAGGGAAGCCTACAAAAAAGAATGTAAGCTATTTATAAAAACGCAAATGAAATAAGATAAGTCATTCTATGATATTGCTTTTGAAAATAAAAAATACACATAATAGCAAATAAAGCTAATTACTAATAATTACTTCATTTAAATTATTTTAAAATAGAGTCGTTTAAAATCGTACCAAGAAATGACTTCACGGAAACAATCTTCAACTTGATTGATGATTAGTACCAAATTAGTACCACTGACTCGACCAAATTAGTATACACTTCTGAGTAGTAATATTAAACATCAAGTGGTGTGCCCTCTATACCTAGATAAATATAATTATGNGATAAATGTTAGTGTATTTTTTTTATTTATAAGATAGACAAATGATTCCTGAAAGAAGAAATTATCTGAATTTTCTTCAATGTTTTTTTCTTTTAGTGCTTAATTTTTTTTCTTTTCGTATATAAAAAATAAATAAAAGACTTACAGACAAAAGAAACATTAAAACAAACAAATTCCTCCATAGTTGAACTAAGTGTGGCTTTAAAAAAAAGAAGAAAAAAAGATATTAAAGTTTGTAAAATCTATAGCAATAACTGAAAAAAGATTGATGATAAAAACCTCAGGTATTTACTACGAAATCGCACAAATCGAGCAGGTGAAAAAGAAGTTAATCAAATGTATGTTTCAAGATTCACATATTATAATTAATAATACTATACTAAAAATATTGAGATTTTAAAAATATTCAAAATTTAGCAGTGACAACCGCTGAAAAATTGATAGAAAAACAACAGTAGAATTATCGTATCAGATTATTAATATTCAGTTGCGCAATTTGAATTTTCTGTATCATAGTAATATCTGTATTTTAAGATATCATGTAAAAATCAACAGCAAAAACTGCAAAAAAAAAAAAAAAAAAAAAAAAAAAAAAAAAAAAAAAAAAAAAAAAAAAAAAAAAANAATTACACAAATAAATATGTGATTAGAATTTCTCGCTTCTTAATAATATTGTATGAAAATATCACGATTTAAAAAATCATGACGATATTAAGTAGCAAAAACTTTAAAAACCTCAACTAAAACTTGGTAGTGTCCTTGTAAAAGAAACGATAATAATAAATACATAAATTGAATTTTGCGTGTCATAATAATATTAGAATTTTAAAAACCATGAGAAAATCAGTAGCAGTAACTGCAAAAGAAAAAATCTGTAGAATCGACATCGAAATCAGGTATTATAATGATATCCAGCGAGTTGAAATCTCCATCTACAGTTATCATATGAAAAATTCAATCTAATTCAGGGTGCATAGCCAAATCTTTGAATCAAAAANCAAATATATAATATTGATTAAATAATTCCTTTATTGCAAATCGGGATTTATTACACATTTAAAATCAAAGTTTAAAAGGAATAAAAAAAACACCATTTTTTTTCTCGGGAACAATAATTTAAATGTTGCTATTTCAGAATTACTTTGAAGACCGTCAACTTAATTATTTTTCTTTTCGCCTCTGTGGTTCATTAATTTTAACTGAAGAAGTTATTACAGATACAAAGTTTTATAAGAGTTAATTATTACAGATATAAAGCATACAAACTCAAAAAGAAAAAAAAAGGTGCTTGTAAAGGAGGTATAAATTTCATATTAAGGAGATTTTGTGTAAGTGGTGAAATTTAAATTTTTGATTAGTGAAATTCCGAGAAAATTTTGTTGAAATATAAATTATTGATTTACGAAAGTCCGTTAATCAATAATCTTGAGAATCGCGGAATTCTGCAAATTAACAGAAGAAACACATGCCTAATAAGAACAGAAATTCCCAATAATCCCGATTTAAAATGAATTTTAAAAATCAAATTGAATAAGTCAAATATATTAAAAAAATAATCGTAGATAAATAAAAAGGATTCTACCTATACATTATTAGCCCTTACTGTTTATATTCAAAACTGCAATGAATTTATCTTAAAAAAAACATACCTTTGGCATCTCCAAGATTAGAAAATATAGTTTTGATTTTACAAAGAATATTTTCAGTAAGTTCACGAGATTTTACTATCATTGGAAAAATATTTCTCTGATTATACACCAATTCCTAAAAGAAACAATATATAGCTGTAATGAAATATTACAAGTTATAAAATTATAATGTTAAGTTTTATAGTGTAATGAATAAAACAGTTCAACACATTGAATCAGCAATAATATATATATATATATATACACACACAACAAAATAAATAAATACAAGAAAACACGAAGAAAGTTAAGAAAAACAATAACTTTCATTTATTGTGCATAAGCTGCAAGTAAACAGAACTCATTAGATAAGTTCAAAATAAAGATAAAACAAAGGAAAATAATAGACATAAGAAGAAAAGAAAAAAAAAGGGAGAAANCATTCATGGAACCAAACTTTCCCAGTTTCACTTTCCAGCCGGGAATCTTCATTCCATTCCCGGTAGTTCATGGTAGGGCCCCAGGTGAAAAACTGAAAACTTCAGCCAAAACGCCATCTTCTTCACGTATGAATAAACACCAAATTTACAAAATACAGAATATGAAACTTCTCATTGAAAAACAAATTATGAAAATAATTTTAGAAACTAACAAGCAGTAGGTAATAAAATTTTTTTTAAAAAACTAATTATAAAGCTTAAGAACACAGATTCTTTTCTTTTTAAAAAAAAAAGTGATATAATTCAAAGATGATATGAAAAACTTGTGATACCTATGATATACTAACAAAACTCATGATATACTAAAAATTTAGAAATGCAATAAATATTTCTTTACATTTTCATTTTAATACTTATCTGTGTTTAGAAATAAAAACTTGTTATTAAACGAAATTTGAAAATATTTACAACATTTAGATAAATGACTTAGTTTAAAAGAAAGAATGTGTGTAAAATATTCAATTTACAAATTTTTTTACAACAATGAGCTCATAAGTAAATAATCAATTTATTTAAAAAAAAATTTATATCAAGAATCTTTAGTTAAATAATGATAGTAGAGAATAAAGAGAGTAGAACTTGTAAAATGTAAACTTTTTAAAATTGTTTAATATTTTAAGAATGTAACAGAAAATAATCAAAGTTTAATTAGGCTAAACTTAAAAGTTTAAAAATAATGTTTGTAAACAAAAAATTAGTTTAACTTAGGCAAATATACTTTCAAAG